CTAGTTGGTTTAGATATAAAGCCTAAAAGTAACCTCTCCTGCTTCTTTGCCGCCTTGATAGCTCTAGCTGTCTTCTCTATTTCTGCGTCAAAGACAAGTTCACCTGTATGAATAGAGCGCGGCATAAACTAGAACAAACACAAAAAAAATAAACAATATTCAAAAGAAACAAATCAATGATCACCGTTCCCCGGCAACGGCGCCATTTTGGGGGGAGGTGTCAAGCCAACAAACAATTTAACCTATTTCCATACTAATGTAGTACAGGAAAGTAATGTTGTCTCCTCAGAGAATGGTGAATTTCTCTCTTTTAAATCAAGTAACAAATGGGGGAGGGTCTTGAGTTGTTGAAATAAATTGCAAACAAAACAAATTGCAAACAATAGCTAAAATGATGCAAACAAATAATGAGAAAATATCTAGCTGAAGGATTTGTATATCCGCCTTGATTTAAACAGTTGATCATAGATGTAATGATATTATCATTAACTTATGAGTAGATTAATTTTCATTGTTGGAACCTCCAAACAATTCAATCCTTCATCTAGTACAACAATTAAGAAACCTTCATTAATCATATACTAGTCAAAAACAAATCTTGGAACCTCCTAAGATTTAGAAAACTACTGCATTAAACACATAGATCCAATCCCAATTCCTATAAAACAAACATTATATTAAACCAGATTACTTGTTCTTATAACATAAATAATTACTTACCAAGTAATTAAATTATATTATACCCTATTTAAACAACAAACCTTGTTGTCTTATTGGTTTTAGATTATTAAGAGGCACCGAATGCTACCAGCTATTCATGAATCCACAATAATCATATCAATCATGCAATAGAACAAGCAAATACTCACAAGAAATTGAGAGAGAAACAATATTTAGATGTCACAACTATTCAAACCAAGGCTTCAATACCCTTCAACCAGATGAATGAATTTAGCTACTCCAAAAATGTTACCGATTGATGTCTATGAACTTGGAAGACTCCAAAAATGAAGAAAGTGCCTTTGAAACCTTCTTAAAAGTGGAAAACTACGTCTATTTTTATTGTACTACCTACTACTCTTTCAAAATGAAAAGCAAAGTCTATTTATAATCAGAAAATAGGTCAGCCACAGCAGCCATTCAGAAATCCGCAGCTGCAAATTAACTTTTCCGAGATTTGCAAATTGATCCCTCAAGTATGGCAAAATTATATTTTGACCCTAAAACTTTTTCAATTTTTTATTTTAGTCCCTATTTCGGTTTGGCCAAACGGGAATGCAGCATCAATGCTGGAATTTCTTCTATACGGCTCAATTTTGGTCTAAGATTTGTGTGCCCACACGAGAATATGATGTCATTGCTCCTTTCTTGTGCTTCCTTGTCAAAATGCTCCAAAAATGCGTGTTTATGTAACATTTTTCTCCATCTCAGCTCCAATCACTCCTAAGAACCAAAAAAATCAAAATACACAACATAAGTGCACAATCTAATCCACAATGCTATACAAATACCCATGAATAACATGAAACTTCAAGATCTATCAATTATTAAAGCAGTAATATATTTGTTCAGAAGTCCTATCCTTGGCTTGGTCCATGGCGCAGCTTGGATGGGTTTCTGGTACATCTGTGATCTTGTTGTTTTCCTTTATCACATACTATACATCGATTATTATGTTGGCTTGTTACCGAACAGGAAATCCTGTGGACGGAAAAAGAAACTATACCTATATGGATGCTGTGCGATCCAACTTCGGTGGCTTTCAAGTGAAAGTGTGTGGAGCAATTCAATACCTGAATCTTGTTGGAACCGCAATTGCTTACACTATTGCAGCTTCCATAAGCATGGTGGCAGTCGAAAACTCTAACTGTTTTCACTCTAGCCACCACAGAAATCGTTGCAAAGTCTCCAGCAATCTTTACATGATCATATTTGGAGTTGTTCAAATCTTTTTCTCCCAAATTCCTGATTTCGAGGGAACTTGGTGGCTCTCAATTGTTGCTGCGGAAATGTCCTTTACTTATTCTACTATCCGTCTTGGCCTTGGAGTTGGAAGGGTTGCGGAATCTGGCAAGATTAAAGGAAGTTAATCTGGAATCAGCATTGGAATTGTTACTCAGACCGACAAAGTTAGGAGAATTTTTCAAGCCGTTGGAGCAATTGCTTTTGCCTATTCTTACTCGTTCATCCTAATTGAGATTCAAGATACAGTCAAAGCTCAACCTTCTGAATACAAAACAATGAAAAAGGCCACTTTCGTAAGTGTGGGAGTAACCACAATTTTCTACATGTTGTGTGGTTGCTTTGGATATGCCGCATTTGGAGACGTTTCCCCTGGAAATCTCTTGATTGGCCGATCATGGTTTTGGCTTCTACAATCCATACTGGCTGGTTGACTTAGCCAATTTAGCCACTGTTGTTCATCTTGTTGGTGCATATCAAGTTTTCAGTCAACCCTTTTTCGCATTCGTTGAAAATACCGCGATAGAAAGGTTCCCGGAGAGCAAGTTCGTCTGCGAAGAAATCGAAGTCCCATTGTTTGGATTCAAGTCATCATACAAACTCAACTTCTTCCAGCTGATTTGGCGCACAATCTTTGTCATTTTCACCACCGTGATATCGATGCTTATTCCATTCTTCAAAGATGTTGTTGGGATTCGTGGAGCTATCGGATTTTGGCCTCTGACGGTATACTTCCCAGTTGAAATGTATATTGTGCAGATGAAGATACAAAAATGGAGCCCGAAGTGGATCTGCCTACAAATATTGAGTGTCACATGCTTGATCGTATCGATTGCTGCTGTTGCGGTTCTGCTGCTGGAGTTGTTTTGGATCTTATAACTTACAAGACCTTCAAGACAAGTTACTGAATGTGTTTGATGATGAAGATCACAAAAGAAATGATGATGACTGTAGGTTCCCCAACTGTAGGCTTAGAGTAAGAACTTCAAATTGTACTTTTAGTATTCTAAGTCTGTAGTTTATGGTCTGCTTTTTTACCATTCCCCAGAACATGTGATCCCTGTACGTATTTATCAAATTTACAACCTTCAATACAAACTTTTTTTTGAAAAAACAAAAGGAAAAAAAAAACTGCATCTTTCACGCTTTAAAACATCATCAATGATACATTTTTTCATTCATGATTCATGAAGCATTTTGATGGGGGGTTTTGCCCTTTAGGATCCAATTTCATATTTTTATGTCGAAGCTGTTAGTAGATTTGATTGACTTGCATAAAGCACGCTACCCTTTTTCTTCTCGTTCTTGAGTCTTCAAACATTTGTTATTGGTTCTCATAATTTGCTTAGAAAATTTTATTGTTAATGCATTACCTCTGATATAATAGATCGATTGTTGATGGAACCGATATAACTTACATATATACAGTGGAATATCGGTAAATTAATAATCGATAGATTAATAATTTATAGAAATTAATAATTTTCTCAGGTCCCAACTTGGGACCAGTACAAAAAGTGACAAAAATCGATAAAATGATAAGATAATAATGTTTCAGAAAATCCCTATATATCTATAGGTCCAAACAATACTGTAAATAAATACCTTAAATGCCAAAAAAAAAACTAATATCTAAGAAGATTTAGTAAAATATGAGCTTATTGATACCTTTTTTTCTTGAAATTTCAATCTAATGAAATTTCATCCTTGTCTCATTGCCCTTGAGAGTTCTGGTATTGTATTCTCAAATTACAACAAGAATACTGAAAAGTTATTACTGATTTTCAGTGCTTCTTTTCTTGTAACTAGTGCCAAAGGCAGTCAATCATCACCACCTTCATCCCCAATTGAATTATCTTCAAGGACACTAGTTACAAAATCTTCAAATGATTTGACTTTTGTAGACTCATCATTTTCTTGGATAATCCACCAACTGATTGACATTCATCTTATTCGGTTTGAGTTTATTATTAAAAGGAGTTACATTCCTGACTTGTTTAGGATTGTAAAGAAACAATGAAAAATTACGTAGTATAATAGGGTTTTTAACGAAAAAATTCTTTAAATTAATAATTTATTAATTTATCAATTATTTAATAATTCGCTAAATTAATAAAATTTGGTGGTCTCAACACTATTAATTTATAGAAGTTCTACTGTGTAATGCTATTACATATGGATGTGATCAAAAAATTCAATAGGAATTAATAATCCCGATTACTCACTGATTAACAAGCATCAAAATAGAAATGATTGACAAAAGATGATAACGAGAAATTGTTCCGAGAAAAGTTCTGCATGCCTTTGGTTCCCCCAATTTCTATCATTTTGGCGAATAATTGGTTGTGAAGAGCACCAAAGCTCTATGAAGATATAATAGAATCAGCATAAATCGATTTACATTCCTCTAAGTACACTTATGAATGATTGACCAACTAATATGACATGTCAACAAATTGCCAGTAGTACAAGATTTCTGAATACTACTAATCCAAATTATACTCACCTCGGTATGACCAACAAGAGCATTTGTGAAGTCTTTTTCCTTGAAACAAAAGCTAACGGTACCAAATAATCAAAAAACTGAGAACCCTCTAAAACAAACATAAACTAGAAATTTCTCGAGTCTGAGAATTTTTCCTACTTTTGCTAGAATGAGATAGACTGACCTCCATCTTTGAAGAGGATTAAACAAATTAAGCTCTGGTCAAATGTGAAAGGTTTACTTATTAAAATTACATAGTTCTATAGAGCAGGACAAATGCAAGACAAATAATGTGGGACATGAGATCCCAACTCAATTTTGACAACCTCGCAAAGTTTTCTTTCGAACTTTCACATTGTTTTCAATATGAGTTAGGAAAAGTTTTTAACGTTCAAATTGTTTTCCCCCTTGTGATTTTTATTAGCAAATGTTGATTTCATCAGGTTGTTGCTCTTGTATCACTCTTAGTGGAACTACCTATCATACACAAAGCCTTACTACGTCTTTTGGTCGAGGTATAATTCGGAGGTGGTCAGCGCCTTTCAAGGACGTATTAAAATTGAGTTTGAATTTCTCCATCATTAAAAAATTGAACTTCTAGGCAGAAATTGTACGAATGTGTAACGTTGTTTTGAGCCTTTTCTCCATCATCAGAATCTGTACTGTGTTGCTTCTGCTTCTGTTTCTTTTTCTCTTCTTTCTCAGATTTCAATCTTTCTTTTTTCTCCGCCTTCAACCTCGCATGTTGCTTGGCTTGCTCAAGGGCCTTAATCAGTTTCTCCACACAAAAATCAGTACCCTCTTCGGTAGACTTAGGCATCAAATTTTCAACAACATCAGCAGGGGTCATCTTGATTTCCTTAAGCAAATTCTCAACTCTATCAAACAAATCATGTGAGTCAATGTTCAAGTAAATCTTTACCAGTTCCTTAAATGCTTCAAATCCGCAATAAGATAGCTCAATGTGCATATCCATCCTGCCTCGGCGAATCAGGGCGGGATCAAGATGTTCCACATAGTTAGTTGTGAAAACAACTAGCCTTTCTCCTCCACAGGCTGACCACAACCCATCAATGAAGTTCAAAAGCACTGAGAGAGTAACTTGGCTGCTCTTGCTATTGTCCTCAACTTTCTTCATCGTAATAATTTTTTCGACAGAGTCCTTGTTTTTTTTTCCTTGTTTCTCTTCTCCCTTTGGCCAGTCAGGACTCAGGTCAAGGGAACAATCAATATCCTCAATCACAATGATGGATTTCCCCATTATCTCAATCAACAGTTTCCTCAGCTCTGAATTGTCCTTGACCGAAGTCAACTCAAGATCATACACATCATATTTTAACAAATTGGCCATGGCAGCAATCATTGTGGACTTACCGGTTCCTGGCGGACCATGAAGAAGGTATCGGGGCTTCCAAGCCTTCCCAATCTTCGCGTACTACTCTTTTGCCTTACTGAAATTGATCAAATCATCCATAATCTCCTTCTTCTTGTCGGGTATCGTAATACTTAATTTACTTACTATAGTGTCCTTGTTTAAGGTTTGTTATTGTCTATATATAGTCTGTATATTGTACATAACGACATATGAATGAAATACAATTTTCTTATTCTAAGTTGGTACAGAGTTAGGATTTTTTTTCGGTCTCTGGTTTCCTTCTTTTTCTCGGCCCTTCGCTGTTCCTTTCTCCACCACTGTCGACCGCACGATTCTCCTTCTCCCGGTGTGTCTTCCTCTTCTCTGTTTTTTTTATTCTCCTTCTTCGTCCTCCATTGGTAACCATCGTTGTTATTCTTGTTGTTGTGGATAGCCGTGAAATCTTGTGGAAGTGTTGATTTTTTTTTCCCTGCCGGCCACCTTTTTAATCTCCTTCCGCCGTTGCGCCCTCCCTTCTTTTTTTGCTGCTGCTGTCCCTTTCCAGCCGACGTCTTCTTCTTCTTCTTTGCCGTGTGCCCTCATCATCATCACACGCCCATCATCAATTCATCACCAAAAAAAAAAAAAAACACTACCGAGTAAGCCTTTGCCTTTCAGCTTTGTAATTTTCGCCCTTTTACTTTCTGAAATTCCAAAATTAGTCCCTCTATTTTTTTTCCTCTTCTGCAAATCAGCCTTCTCACTTCCAATTTGTACAAATCAGTCCTAAACATCGGTGATTTGTGCAATTAAGTCCTTACACCTTGCGACAATTAATAAACATCTGCTTGCTTACTTCCGAAGATGTCTACCATCGACCTTTCATCCACCGATCAGGCTACCCCTCTTCTGACCGCGGCACCTCCTTCACAGATGCCAGTATCACTTCTTCAACCCAGTCTACAGTCTCTCAATCACTCTTTTACTATGAAGTTACAATCTCGGGCCAATTACTCGTCTTGGCGTCTTCAGTTTACTCCTCTATTCACTATGTTTCGTGTTGCCGGTATTGTTGACGGTACCGAACCTGCACCGCCGCATTTTCTCCTTCCGCCAGTGGTGCCACGCCTCAACTCAATCCTGAGTTTGATATCTGGCAGCAAAAGGATCAGCTGGTCCTCTCTTGGATTCTTTCTTCCATTGCTGAAGAGATCTTTCCCGTTCTCCAGGGCTCCACAACGTCGGCGGCAGCATGGACAGCTCTTTAGCAGGGTTTCGGCACCCTTTCTTATGCTCAACAGACCCAGCTTGTTATGGAGCTCCACAGCTTGCAAAAAGGTGACTTATCGGTCACGGCTCTCCTCTCCAAAGCGAAGGGTATCGCAGATACACTGCAGCTTGCCAGCCATCGCATATCTCCAGCCGAGTTTAATGCCATAATCTTCCGCAAGCTTGATGCCGAGTTCAATGGTATCATCGGAGCTTTGCAGTAGCGATCCGAACCCCCCCTCCTATCAAGATCTTCTTGGGCAGCGTATGAGGTGCTTCTTCACGCCCAACAGCCGGTTCTTCAGCCGACGGCCATGCTTGTGCAGTCGCCACCTTCTCCTACGCCGCCTCAATCCTCTCGTGCCGGTCGCTCGCAACGCGGCGGCCAGCGCAATCAGTTTTCTGGTCGTGGTGGTGGTCGGCATGGGTACACCCCTCCCGCGCCGGGTGAGACGTGTCAGCTTTGCGACATCTTGAATTACATGGCCGCCACTTGCCGACGCCGCTTTGATGCTAATTTTGTTCCTCGACCCCCTGCCATTCGGTCGGCTGCTTATGCGCAGGTAGTTTTCTCCTACACAGCATTCGGCTGGTTTGTTGCTTCCTCCGTCTTACCCGGAGTTGACTGTGTCTCCTCAAGCTCATATGGCGCAGTATGCCCCTCCGATCAGTCCCTGGCATCCGGACACTGGTGCTACCGATCATGCCATGCCAGATTTGTCCTCTCTCAGTATCTCCAATGATTATAATGGTACGGATCATATTTTAGTTGGTAATGGTGATGCTTTACCTATTCAGCATGTTGGTCAATCGGTTTTGCCATCGTTTTCTCGTCCTCTTTATTTAAATCGTGTTTTGCATGCTCCTTCTCTTACTAAGCCTCTGTTATATGTTCAAAAGTTTACCCATGATAATCACTGTTTCTTTGAATTTTATTCTGACTCTTGTTGTGTTAAGGATCTTTCAACCAAGGAACTCCTCCTCCGCGGTTGGGCTGATAATGGTCTCTATCGCTTTGATCTTCCTGCTCGTGGTTCCTTGTCTCCAGTAGCTTATCTTGTCTCTCTAGGTCAATGGCATGCTCGTTTAGGGCACCCTAATAATGTTACTCTTCGTACTTTGGTTAGTCAGTTTCAACTCCCTCATTCCTCTGTGTCCATGTCCACTGATAAATGTGAGGCGTGTTGTTTAGGGAAGTTGCATAGAGTTAGTTTACCTTCTACTTTTCGTCGTAGCTCTAAACCTCTTGATTTAATTCACACTGATGTTTGGGGCCCTGCTCCAATTTTGTCATTTAATGGTTATCGCTACTTTGTGCTTTTTATTGATGATTTCTCTTTATTCACATGGATTTATCCCATTAAGTATAAAAGTGATGTTCCATGTTTTCAAGTAATTTAAAACTCTCGTAGAAATCAATTTGGCACTACCATTAAAAGTGTTAACTCTGATTGGGGTGGTGAATTTCGTTCTCTCAATTCTTTCTTTAAGGATGTCGGTATTGTTCATCGTTTAGCATGCCCACACACTCATGAGCAGAATGGCACTGCTGAACGCAAAATTCGTCACATTGTCGACATTGGACTTGCTCTCCTTGGCCATTCTAGTACTCCTTTTCGGTTTTGGGACTTTGCTTTTGAAACTGCTGTGTTTTTTATTAATCACCACCCTAGTAAACCTCTTCAAGGTCACCTACCCTTCACTACACTATATCACCAGCCACCTAATTATACCTTTCTTCGTGTTTTTGGCTGTGCTGTCTATCCTCTTCTTCGCCCTTATAATCGACATAAATTCTCTTTTTGTTCTACTCAGTGTGTCTTTCTTGGGTATTCTCCATCTCATCTTGGTTATCGTTGTTTTGATGTGGTGAATAACCGTCTTTATGTTGCTCGTCATGTTGAGTTTGATGAGAGACTCTTTTCCTTTAAACGTCCTATTTCTAGTTCTCCTTCTTCGCTATCGGAGTCTCCTGCTACCCCTTGGTTGCGTGTAACCAGTTCTCCTGGTATGCTTGCTTTGTCTTCTGCGCCCTCTTCGTCTCCTCCTAGTACACCAGTTCCTTCGTCTCCTCCCATCCCTCCCGACTCATCAGCATCTTTAGATAGTTCTCCTGTATCCAGCTCATCATCATCTGAGTCCAGTTCTCCTCCGCCACCTCCTCCTCCTCCTTCCCGTCCGCATTCAATGGCATTTCGTCCAAACCCTAAGCCCAAGAAAATCTTTGATCCCTCGGCTCATCTTACCTCTGTTTCCCTAGATTTGTCTACTGCTCCTACATCCTTCACCCAAGCCAAATCTTTTCCTCAGTGGCAGAATGCCATGAAGGATGAAATTTCCGCCCTCCTCAAAAATAACACATGGACTTTAGTTCCCCCTCCTTCCTCCGGCAATGTTGTCAGCAATCGATGGCTCTATAAGATTAAGACCCATGCTGATGCCTCCGTTGAGCATTATAAGGCTCGGTTGGTGGCTCGAGGTTTTACTCAGCCTTTTGGGGTTGATTACACTGACACCTTTAGTCCGGTTGTTAAGTCGGTCACTATTCGCTCGGTTTTGACAGTTGCCTTGGCTCGTGGATGGTTGATTTCTTAGCTTGATGTCAGTAATGCCTTTCTTAATGGTGTTCTGAGTGAGAATGTGTATATGGTTCAGCCACAGGGTTTTGATTATCCGGTGCGCCCTCATTATGTGTGCAAACTGCATAAGTCCTTATATGGTCTTAAGCAAGCTCCTCGGGCCTGGTATTCTCGGCTGGCTGCGTTTTTGATCACCTTGGGTTTTGTGGAGTCTCGTTGTGATCCTTCCCTCTTTGTCTATCGCCGTGGGTCTCAGTTGTGTTTTCTGCTGGTCTATGTGGATGACATTATTCTTACAGGCAGTACTTCTGGTTTGGTCCAGCATTTTATCTCTTGTCTTGCTAAGGAATTTTCTCTTCGGGATTTAGGTCTATTGAGTTACTTTCTTGGGGTCGAGGTTCGTCGTACTTCCAAGGGTTTGCTCCTCTCTCAGCACAAGTATGTCACTGATTTACTACGACTTGCAAATATGCATACTTTCAAACCTATTTCAACTCCTCTGCAGGCTAATGTTGTGTTGTCCCGTTTAGATGGTACTCTGTTGTCTCCTGATGATGCGACTACTTATCGCCGGTTGGCAGTCTGCAGTATACCACTCTCACTCGTCCAGATATCTCCTTTGTGGTTAATAATCTTTGTCAATTCATGCATCAGCCTCGCACTTCTCATTTCAGGCTCTCAAACGGGTTCTTCGCTATCTTCGTGGCACCGTTGATTTCTGTTTAGTTCTGCATCCTATAGATTTGGGCACTCTTACTGCTTTTAGTGATGCTGACTGGGCTGGTTGTCCGGATGATCATCGTTCTACTACTGGTTTTTTCATTTATTTGGGACCTAATCTCATTGCCTAGGCATCTCTGAAGCAACCCACTGTGGCTCGCTCGTCTACTGAGGCTGAGTTTCGTGCGGTTGCTAATGTCTGTGTTGAACTGCATTGGGTGTGGCATCTGTTTTCCGAGTTAGGAGTTTCATTACATCGCCCTCCCTCTATTTGGTGTGACAACAGTAGAGCAGTTTCCTTGCTGCCAATCCCGTGTTTCATGCTCGTACCAGACATGTTGAGGTTGATTTTCACTTTGTTCGAGATCATGTTCGGTGAAAGTTTGTTTTGGTCAACTCTGTCTCTGCTGCTGATCAACTTGCTGATATTCTGACCAAACCCTTGTCCAAGGAGTTATTCTTTCGATTCCGGGACAAACTTCGGCTTCTCTCTTCTCCGCCGTCAGTTTGAGGGGGCGTATTGTAATACTTAATATATTTACTATAGTGTCCTTGTTTAGGGTTTGTTATTGTCTATATATAGTCTATATATTGTACATAACGACATATGAATGAAATACAATTCCCTTATTCTAAGTTCGGGTTCCATGGCCAGAGTATCAAATGTTGTTGGATGCTCAAATTTTACATGGCTCCACATGGTCCTGATTATCCTATTCCCATTATTATCACTCTTGTAGTTATTATACAGCTTTCGCCACCTTTCCCTAAAAGCAATTTCCTTACCTTTATCCAAAACATGTTTCAAATAGACAGTGGTTACGATTTCGCAATGCTTTTTGTGAAACGTCAGCCTAAAGTACCTCTTCTCATCTCCATTTGGAAATATAGAAAAGACTGTTTCTTAGAAATGATTTGCCTAGAAGCCCACAAAAGCTTAATTCCTTCGAATTCATCGGTGACTTATTCGTTTTCCTCTATGCTAAGGACAAGGGAATCAGAATCTTGGGCATTGCTACGAGCCTTAAGGAACATAGCTTGATAAGAAGATTTATGATGTCAGGTATCTTTCAATTGCCTTGTAGGCTTCACTACGAGTTCTATAAAACCCATGTCCTTGATAATATTCAGGGAAACCGATCTGAATGTATGGCGAAATATACATGTTTAGGACCTTGATCAAGTTGTGAAGTTGAGAAGGGAAGTAGCTTTTGTATATTGTCCAAACAAACATCAGTGCTGCCATTGTAAAGCCTAAACTTCCCCACTTTTCACCAATATTCATCATTTTTAGTTTCTTCATGGCCTGAATTGTTGAGATTGCCATGGAAACTCTCTCTCTCTCTCTCTCTCTCTCTCTCTCTCTCACACACACACACACACTCACACACACACAGAAAGCAGCAATGTAGAAAATTACACGGCAGGAACTTTGAGGTTTCACAATTTTTCGTTTTAATAGAAAATGACTTAATCCATTATAAAGGCTTTATTTATTGTGAGTGCTTGAAATCAACATCCGACCCAGGTCAAATTTGTCTTCTTTTGTCACACCTAACAAACTTTTTTTTAGTAATCTGCTCAAATGGTCCTTTACATTTGACAAAACACTTAATTTGGTCATTTATATTAAAAACTCACTCATTTGGTCCATTACATTTGTCTTTTCAGCTAATTCGGTCCTTTTTTTTGGCCCTTTACATTTGTGGGTACTTGGGCAGACCAATTCTTGGTCAACTCAACAAGCGCATTTTTATTAAAAAACAAAAATGTATTAAAATAATATTAAACATAATTCATTAATTTATAATTTATTATTAAATAAATTTAAAATTCAAAATTCAAATATAATATTGTTAAAAAATTTAAAAATTTAAAAATAAAAAAATACAAAATCTGATTATTTTTTATACCTGTGGGCCTCAATAAAAACATTATCTTTACACAATTTTTATTCACCACTACCGAACGCCACCGGACCGCAACCAGCCGAATTTTTATTCATCACTACCAGACAACCTCCACCACCACCGGACCATCGTCGGCCGATCACCAGTCGGCGGCGATCCACCGTCGGCGGCGGCAGTGGAGGTGGCTCGATGGTGGGCGGTGCCGGAATCCGGCCTGCCGGTCATTGGGCGGAGGTGGTCCGATGGTGGTGGAGGTGGTCTGGTACTGGTGAATAATAATTGTGTAAAAATAATGTTTCGATTGAGGCCCAATGGTATAAAAAATAAATTGAATTTTGGATTTTCTTTATTTTTAAATTTTTTAGTGATATTATATTTGAATTTTGAATTTGTAAATTTTTTTCTTTTTTATTATAAATTAATATAATATGTTTAGTATTATTTTAATACATTTTTGGGTTTTAATATGTTTTGAAAATATGAGATTTATAAGTTATCGAAAATGCCCATATTGAGTTGGCCAAAAACTGGTCTTCCCAAGAACCCACAAATGTAAAGAGCCAAAAAAAATAAAAAGGACGAAATTAGTTGAAAAGACTAATGTAATAGACCAAATGAGTGAGTTTTTAATATAAAAGACCAAATTAAGTTTCTGCCAAATGTAAAGGAGCATTTGAGCAGATTACTCTTTTTTTTTGGTGATTTTATGATACGAACAAACTTTTGTCCCGAATGAAGAGTTTTGTTATGTAATACTACTGGTAAAACTAACTATGCATAACTTTCTATTGGTTCCAAAATGATTGTTATGTTTGAAATTTTATTTTAGTACAATTTGAACTAAAATTGAATATTCGAATTAGAGAATCATTTTGGGACAGAAGAAGTATTTTATATGAGAACAGTTATTGAAATATGTATTCTATAATTAGGAAAATAGTGAGCAAATACTGTAATTTTAGGACAGAAACAAGAAAAGTGAAAAGACTCTTGTGCATTATTGGCGTTGACTTGAGTCAATGTTATAATGCAAATTCACAAACCGCTAGTATTTTGTATGACATCATTCTACTTGCGTCACGGTGGCCTTTCATAACATCGAGAAAACGTAGATACAAGGTGTCCCCCGTGTCCTTCCCCCTAATTTTAGTTTACAAGGAGTAAACAATGAACCCCTAATATGCATGTATGAATTCTTACTTTTTGTTTTACAGTACTAAAACAAGGATAAAAAACATAAAGAAAGTGCATGCAATAAAATCCTTTAGGAAGCATAAACTTACATATTCTTCCATGACTTGGCGAAAATTATTAAACTGGTGAAAATAATGAAACAACCCTTTTTATTCTTTGGGCTTATTTTCTAAAAAACTATTAAACAAACGGCCCCATTTGAGATTGAGTTCCATGTGTTACTGGAAGGTTTTTTTAGTAAATCATAAAACAATTCATTTTAACTGTTGGGTGATTTCATCACATGTTATCAATCAAATTTATTTATGAAATAAGACCCTTAGCAAAAAATTCATCGGAGATCATTCTGTCCATTCTATGTTTTTTTTTTTTTTTTAACAAGGTTCCAAATTCCAATCATAATAATTTCTTATCAATTGGTGATGCATGTTCTCTAACCCATGGTATGGATTAAATCAAATCTCAATCCAGTTAAACTAATATTAGTAAGTTAGTAGTACATGGGTTTGGATAGCACTTATTAGAATTATTGCTAACACAAAATTTTAGGTTCATCAATTATCAAACTAGAGATGGATATTGAGAGCTCAGAGTGAAAGAGACCAAGTGTAAAATAGTCCATTTCTTTTCTATTTTCGGTTAAAGTATATACCTGCCTTATATCAATAATATAATGAGTCCAAGATTAAGTTTTTTTATACATTGACAAAATGACAAAAATTATTATCGTTTACTCCTTTTTGTTTTACCAAAACTCGCCCACATTGTAAATTAAAGATTTTATTGCTTTAAGTATAATTTATTTAGTTATAACCTAGAAACTTTTTTTCTGACAGGAAGTGATTTTCAATTTGTTAAACACTGTTCCCTCTATCCATGAAAACTTAATACAGTTTGTCTAATTGCATTACAAAGAAATTCATCGGGAATCCGATTCGGTGATGTCAATCAATGGGTCAATGACTACAAATATCTTGTGCTTCTTTATCACAATAAATTTGCGGAACTACTCCTTTTAACTGCTTCATTTGACTCTTCTTTGAAAAAGCTGATCCAAGACTTCCCATTTTGACTGCATCAGTAAGTACCAAACCCAATGTAAAAGCAAAAGACAGGAAGTTAAAAGTGAAAAAATTATCACAAATTAGCCGTTGCCATCGTTTTCTTCTCCTTCCTTTCTACCTCGTTGCTGCTATACCTCCAACGATCTCACCGGCCGGAGAAAGAAAGCCTACAAATAACTAAAAAAAGACAATCATTTTCAATAACCCTTTGATCGACCCCAACCAAATAACCCCTTAATGGAATATATGGTTTCTCTCTGTTAGTAATTTCGACATTTGGGGGCAGTGTGTGTGTGAGAGAGAAAGAGAAATTTCCCATGGCAATCTCAACAATTCCGGCCGTGAAGAAAGTAAAGAGGGTGAATCTGGGACAAAAATGGGGAAGCTTTAGTTCTACAATGGCGGCACTGATGTTTATCTGGACCATATACAAAAGCTACTTCCCTTCTCAACTCCGGAGCTTCATGAAGATGCTAAAGAGGTTTGTTTCTCAATACATCCAGATTAGTTTCCCTCAGTATCAAGGAGAAGGTTTTCAGCTTTATCGAACTCCAGCCTATCAGGCAATTGAAAGATATTTGCATAAGAAATCTTCCGATCAAGCCCAGTTCCTGACGGCCCGGGTTGCCCCGAATTCAGAGGCCATTGTCCTTGGCATAGAGGACAATGAAGAAGTCATTGATGAATTTCAAGGTATTAGGACTTGGTGGGCTTCCAGGAAACAAAACATTTCTAACAGGCAATCCATTTCTTACAATCATAGTGCAGAAGAGAGGAGATACTTTAGGCTCACTTTTCATAAAAAGCACAGGGAAATTGTAACAATTGTGTACTTGAAACATGTTTTGGGTGAAGGTAAGGAAATTGCGAGTAAGGAGAGACGGTGAAAGCTGTTTACTATCTGCAAGATGGGAATGTGAAGGCATGTGACATTTGAGCGTCCAGCAACATTTGATACTCTGGCCATGGAACCAGAGAAGAAGAAGGAGATTATGGATGATCTGATCAATTTTAGTAAGGCGAAAGAGTTTTACACGAAGATTGGGAAGGCTTGGAAGCGCGGATACCTGCTTTATGGTCCTCCGAGCTGAGGAAACTGTTGATTGAGACAAGGGCAAATCCATCATTGTGATTGAAGATATTGATTGCTCCCTTGACCTGACTGGCCAAAGGGAGAAGAGAAACAAGGAAAAAAAGGAAGACAAGGACTCTGTCGAAAGAATGAAGAAGGTGAAGAAAATGGAGGAAAACAAGAGCAGCAGCCAAGTCACTTTCTCAGGACTACTATGGTCAGCCTGTGGAGGAGAGAGACTTATTGTCTTCACAACTAACTATGTGGAAGATCTTGATCCTGCTCTAATTCGACGAGGGATGATGGATAAGCACATTGAGCTATCTTATTGCGGATTCCAAGCATTTAAGGAAGTAGCAAAGATTTATTTAAATATCAACTCGCATGATTCGTTTGATAAAGTTGGGAATTTGCTTGAAGAAACCAAGATGACCCCAGCTGATGTTGCTGAAAATTTGATTCCCAAGTCTACTGAAGAGGGTGCTGATTTTTGTGTGGAGAGACTGATTAAGGCCCTTGAGCAAGCCAAGGTAGATGCGAGGTTGAAGGCGGAGAAGAAAGAAAGTTTGAAAGCTGAGAAAGAAGAGAGAAAGAAACAGAAGCAGATGCAAAACAATACAGATTCTGAAGTGAAAAGCACAGAAACCGTGACGGCCGACAAGGTGAAAGAAAACAATGATTCTGAGGTAAAATGCGCAGAGAAACCGTGGCTAACGAGGTGAAAGACCACAATGATTCTGAGGAAAAAAGTGCAGAAACTATGGCTAACGAGGTGAAAGAACTCGATGATTCTGAGGAAAAAAATGCAGAAACCGTGTCTAACGAGGTGAAAGAAGATTGATGCATTACTAATTCATGGGGGTGATTTTAAAAGTAGATCATATTATTCTAATTGAGGAATTAGCTTCTGACTCATTAGTATCATTACAGCAGTTCTATATTATGTACTCTTTCCTTGAGTATGAATTCTGTATATATTATGAAGGAAAACGTAATGTTCAATTTCAATTCAAGTGTAGAAGAAGTTTGTTTAACCGAGTTAACAGTCAGAGGATAAACCTACAATTAGTTTGGAGATCAAGAAAATTGCACTTAATTTGATTCACATACACAGTTTTCTTCTGCTAAACATGTACAACATTTTCCAAACAAAGTTACAGCCTTCTAGGTTCCAAAAACTCTATTCCTGAATCATAAAAATGAATGTACTGGACCTAAGTCAAAGAATTGAACTTCGACAACTCTGCCTGATGGCAACATAACTTTAATACGCAAGCATGCGTAGCAAGTAGCATAATATAATCTATTTTCTTGTAATGTCAATTGTCAACTCAGTTAGACTCTAAATTGACTGCTTATATGATCGTCGTCTCAATGAAACTCTAGAGAAACTCATTGCGCATCTCAAATTTCGTTACATATATGGAACTCTAAAGAAGCTCATTGAATATTGTCAAGCCATGGATGATGGAAAATACAGCAGCGTCAATGTTAGTCCAGTGTACCATGTAAAATTCAATGACTGAATTCCCTAAATCAAAGCCTTAAAATTGAATTAGCATGTGTAACAGAGTTGTTTCTTTGTATACACATGTAGTAAGTCATGAATCCGGCATGTTTTGACCCACCACAGAAACTTCTTCTTGAAACAAATGAATAGATTTCTCCTGATTAGGTCCATCAAGTAGTCTCTTAAGCACAATTTCCTCACTTGTTCTTCTGCAAGAGCCCGCATATATCTGGTGCAGAATACTCAAGTTGGTGCAGATAAGAAGCTTAATTCATTGAGGAAAGGCAGCAAACTCAAGAATTGCTGCTTCTTAAGGTCTTAGTTGCAGAAGTCTATACTGATCTCTTTGATCATTCCCATGATTGTTAAAGCTTTTGTAATAATTTTAGAAAAAAGGTTCGTCTAAACTAATGTATTGGAATGGAGTTTCTTGCTTCCTTTGAAATGAACGTCTTGTTTTGGTTCTTATCATCTTATGAAAAGAGCTTAAAATGGTCCAAAAGTGTCATTTTTTTTATCTAAGACAAACACAACAATGATTTTATTTTCCCAAGTTAATTGGAAACTGCAGGTTGACTTTACAATGCAGCAAGCAACTGGCATTACAGATAAAAAAAACCTGAGTTTCATGATGTCTAAACTTGAATCGTCGAATCTCCAAGAATATCTTGAGCGTCATCGATATGAAGAATATACATAACTGAAATTGCCCCGAATAGTTGTTTTTATATAATGATTGTTTACAATGTCTTATGTTGAAGAGAACAAACAATCATCTTTTTGACTCTAAAATCATAGTATGATTCTTGGAAATTGGAATTGTCAAAACCAGTCACAAAAAAACTTATTCAAACTTTTATGGGCGTCCAAGTAATATTGTAAAATTATGTGGCGGTCTGGGATTTATTGGACAAATAGGCCAATAGTCATACCACTTGTCTGGGATTTATTGGACAAATAGGCCAATAGTCATACCACTTTTCCCTCTACTTCTTTTTTGGATTCTGCGCGTTATTCTTCCGAACTTCCCAACTTCAAAGTTTCTTCTCACTTATGGCGGCTTCAGCGGGAGGAGGCAATAGTGGTGGCGCAGCCGCGACGGGGGTGGTGGAATGGCACCAGAGGCCCCAGAACCCTAAAAACCCTGTTGTTTTCTTCGATGTAACAATCGGGACTATGCCCGCCGGCCGTATTAGAATGGAGCTTTTCGCCGACATTGTCCCCAAGACAGCTGAAAATTTCCGGTATATGCTTCACCTCCTCCATTCGCACAATTATTTCTGTAGTACATAAACCTGCTACAATGTCTATAGTCTCATACCTGTAGAAACGGTGTTTAATTTCTGTGCGTTTTCCATCGACGAAGCCTAGGGCGCAGGGTTTAGAGATTTTATCGCTATAATTGACAGCTCACTCTGGGCTTTGTTTGGTTCTGTATCCGATTGAGTAAATATTTCACTTCAGAAGTAGGAATTGGGGGGTTCGATTTATACTGTACTCTTTAAGTGGTTAATTATCTTCAAGCTAGCTCTTTGTTGTTTTGTTTGAAATCGATATGAATTGTTAAGACGAGAGATGAGAACATTGATAGCTGTTTTGTTCGCGACCAATATGAATTGATAAGACGAGATGAGAAAATTCATAGCATCATGCTGAGAAAATTCGCAGCATCATGCTGATTTATAATCATGTTTTGGTTTCAAGAAACTCAAAAAGCATTTTTTTTAAGGAAAAATTAATAAATAAGGGCATTTCTTTACTGCGAATTGGTCTAAGAGTGTTTAGATTGCTTTCAGTAGTCAGTTCTGTTTTTCTCTATCCAACTTGAGACTTTGATTTAGGACGATGTTTCTTTTTAGAGGGTTGTATTTGTTCGATGTGTAATGGTTAAGTGAATCTTTGGCCATTGGCTTATTTTGAGATGGGAATGCTATCCCTTTTTGCCTGTGTTCTTGCAGATTCCTTGTTTTTGCCAAATGTGCTGTAACATCATTTTCTTTTGGTCTGAAACATAACTAAGAGTCACCTTATGAATTTTCCTGTCATTGAGATGCTGAAGCGCATTGTTAACGCATTTTCTTTTTCCTCTTTTTGTCAGGCAATTCTGCACTGGCGAGTTCAGGTCAGTAATGAACATATATGAGTTTAATGCCTTGTACTTCCTGCTTGTATGATTTTGTGCTCACAGATGCACGCAGTATTATTAACCTTTATCATAACTGTTTTCCGACCATATATTTTTTCATTTTCCCTACATAACTCTCCTTATTTTCCTGCTCTCCGTTGAATGCTCCTATCGCATTCCATAATCTCTACCTTGGTTATTATCTAATATGGGAGTGATGAACCATCTTTCTTTTTAAATCCAAGTGTGTGTTGGTTGTGATCTATTGGCTGGAACTTACAGGAAAGCTGGCTTACCTGTTGGCTATAAAGGGTGCCAATTCCATAGGGTGATTAAGGATTTCATGATACAAGGTGGCGACTTTCTCAAGGTACTTTCTCTCTCTCTCTCTCTCTCTCTTCCCTCCCCTCCCCCCACCCTCCCGGTGGTGTTGGAGAAACTAGTATTAAGGTTACTTGTAAAAAGTAAAGATGCTATACCTAATACAAATACACTCTTGTATTAAACTCATTGACTAATCTACCCTTCGTATACACTTACATTTCAACACGATTATCAGTTAAGTGTGATAAAAGTTTAATATCGAATCTCTAGAATCTGAAGGACAAGATAGCTCTTAAACCTCCAATGAGAATCAAATGACATTTTGTTGCCTAATACTCAGCAGCTACTGTCTGGAAGCAGATACTGGACTTATTAGGATCTAGTTGCCTTGGTTGTTCTATCTCCTTACATTTCTTTCATGATCTTGTCCTGTAGGGAGATGGAAGTGGTTGCCAATCTATATATGGGAGCAAGTTTGAAGATGAAAACTTTATTGCGAAGCACACCGGTCCTGGGCTTTTATCAATGGTATGAATTTCTGAGACTCTATATTCTTTCATCTGTGTGTGCTATTTTTCTTTCTGCAGCTGATATTTGTCAGGGCATCACGCATATGTGGATGAATACTACATCTTTATCTTGTCCTTTAATTTGTCCATATAACATTTATCACTTATTATGGCATCTCGGATTGATGCCCTACGAACACGTACCATGAAAATAGGGCATTTGTATCTCTGTTGATTGCTGATGCCCATGAAAGGGAAAGTTAAAGGTGGAAGCTGCACGGTGCTGGAAGTCTTGAGTGTAACTTTGGTATATTCTAGTACCAAAACTGTCCCAGCTTTCTGTAGACTCCCATTGTGTAGCTTTTTGCTGTCTTCTTAAACATTTCGGACGTCTATTGAATATATGTCCTGCTTGACAAGAGGTGTGGCAGTAGGAAATTAAAGATGTTCATAAGGAATTGGGTGCGGTGCATTTTGTGCTTGATTGTGGATGTTCAGCTGTCTTTAGTTGCATATTGTTTTTTCCTAATTTGGATGATGCGAATTTCATCAAATAAGTGTGCTGCTGCTTATTATTATGACTAATAAGACATTGTGCTTTTGGCAGGCAAATAGTGGACCAAATACGAATGGGTGTCAGGTACACATCCAATATGTTTTCCTGAAAATATTAATTGTCTTCTTGTTTCTTTGTATGTGACTCTGTTGTTTCTTAATGCAGTTCTTCATCACTTGTGCAAAGTGTGATTGGCTTGACAATAAGCATGTAGTGTTTGGGGTAAGTTTTCCTTGCCTTCTTTGATAAATGCAAATTCTAAACCCTGAGTCTGTCTCGGTCTATAATTTGTCTCAATGGAACAAACTTGGAGATCCTAGTTACACTTATGGTGGTAATTTGCAATTTGCCAGCACTTATATTGTTGACCCAATCGACAATGTGTAAAACCAGATTCGTAGCATTTGCTTTTGAATGGCACAATGCGAACCTTGAAAATCAAAGATTTCTAGATTGGAACTCTTTGTTGCTTCTTTGAATAGGATGAGGGGTGGATGTATCTAGATATACTTGTAACCTCTCACAGGTCATTGCCTATGAATGGTGTGTGTGTTCATTTATTCATCTTGACTTGGTTTTGTGTGAATTTGTGTTGGTAGTCTATTACATATTGTAGTTTTAGTGAGAACAACTGTTACGGGGTTTGATTCTGTGTATATTTAATGCAGAGAGTGCTCGGAGATGGTCTTTTGGTGGTCAGAAAGATTGAGAATGTGGCTGTTGGACCTAACAGTCGACCTAAGTTGCCTTGCGTGATTGCTGAATGTGGAGAGATGTGAAATTCCAGCTCTGATGTGCCCATGTTGTTGTCTCATAATCTCACTGTTCTAGCCTTTTTACGGATGTAAATTCTGAATTCCGATCTTGTTTCCTCGGATTTTAAATTTTTGTTGCGATTTGAGGCCTTTAACAAGTATACAAATTCTAACCTCCGTAATGGTAATTAGCGACATTGTTTTGTGAGTTAGATTGGGGACATGATTTTTGCAAATATATGACAAATTCAAACTCGACTCTTAATTATATGATGTAATAATATGCGACTCCCTGCAACAGAAGGTTGTATCCACTACCTTCAGTTCTCCAAAACACGACGACAAGGAACGAAATTTTCGCCAAATCAAGATGTAATAGGTAGATAATCTCGTACATAAACTCAATGCAAGGCTGTTATTGAGTTTATGTTAAAATTGATCAAGAGCATATCCGCTTGGTATGAAAGACCCGAATGGTCATAAAAACTGTGGAGAATCATTTAGCTGCCTAAAGTCTTTCTCACTAAAACTAGAAGTCAGGCTAGTAGGCTGAAGTCTTTCTCACTAAAACAAGAAGTCAGGCTAGTAGGCTGCATGTGTTTTTATATGGCAAGTGATAGTGGTATACAGCCTTTGCAACGAAATGCTGATCAAATAGATTTCAATAAGATAGCATTATAAGCCCAAGACTGGCAAAACTTTGGAAACGATTTGAAGGCTAGCACAATGCGCTGGGTTATAAGATTGCATCATAAGCGATACATTTTCGTTTAGTAAGACCAAATCTAAGAAGTAAAAATGACTCGAACTCGAGGCACAACAACTTTAGCCATTTAACATTCACCAAGTTTCTCGAAATGCCTTAAATTCTGTCAGAAAGAGTATGAGGAACAGATCACTAGATTCGATGGAGAGGCTACCCAAAGATAAGAGTTGCCATCAGGGAAGACAAATCAGTCCATCTGCAAATTCCCCCAACTTTTTGATCTGCCTTATGGTGACTGACTGACTGGTAGTAAAACTCCACCGTTTAATTATTTTTATTTCACCAAGTTTCAACTTTCAAGTACTCAAGCATTGCTACGGGATGACGGAATGAAATCAAAGCTATCACCAAAGTGGATGCGACCAAGATCTGAGATCCTTAATCGAGTGAAATGAAAACAATTGCAGTCTCGGCATCCCCGATTATGACTGCCCACTGAAATTCCACTTTAAACTACCAACCAAACAGAGAGCTTAGTTACTTCAGCGCAGCTTTTAGAGTCAGAGAACATGAGAATTCAACAGAAAAATTGCTGCCAAAAAGCCATCTGCATTCGGTTGGTCAGTGAATTTTTTAGGAATCCAATAAGATTTGTAAGGCTGCTCAGAGTAGTGAACTGTTGTTTATGGATCTGTTCTGGTGCTATTATATTCTATTACATTCCATTACAACGACTTTAATCATCCTTCAATGGAATGAAATTCTATTTGAAATCGTTACAAAACAAAGAGCAAAAGAGGAAGGCCAAACACTGAAGATTTCATTTCTGGTGGTGAGAAAGATTGATGAGAATGTGGCTATGGGAGCTATTAAACAATCTACCTAGGTTGGCTTGCGTGTTTGCCGATTGTGGAGGGATGTAAAACACTAATTCTGATTAACCATGTTGATTGTTAAACATTCCTGTATCACAGCATTCTGCGAAACTTTTAAGCATGTAAATCCTGAGATTTTGTGCTTATTTTCAGACATTTCTAGGATGTGGAAAAGAGGTTGAGACATGCAACCTTTCAGAAAATATGAGAAAATTGGCAACTGACTGAATTTCACAGACACGGACAGCTGTGCTTAGCTGAGAAGATTATACCAAAGAAGGTACGAGGTTTTGTGGCTCAGTTGACAACAAATTATATCTACAACACCCCAGCCCCGGGTTGAAATATATGCCAAAGATCATAAAATCCTCCAAGGACAGCCTGAAATTCGACATCCAAAAAAAAGAAAACTAGAAAAAAATCTTTTCCTATTTAGAATTGGTAATGCTCGATTCTCGACCCCTGTATATATAAATTAATCACCAACCATCAGGAAAATCAATCGCCAACACAGAGTTATCAATTACAAATATTCTTTTAGCCTATCAAAGTTTTCATTCTTCTAGTCTGCTAGTGTTATTCTATCTACGCAGAAAGGTATTTTGACCAAAGCAAACTTGATAACCAGAATTTACAGACAAAGGCCTAATGATCGGATGATATCTTGTCAACCTTGATTCTATATAATCAATGACTTGACCTTCTCAAACACACTGAACACCTCATTACTGATTTAGGAGTTCGTCAAGGACAATTCACTGGCTTAAAAGATCAACTGAAGCTCATTAGACTTCTGTAAACATAAACACCTTTAGGTTGATGCAAAAGCTGAAAAGATATCTAGTTGCCATGCAGGTGTTAGTGTAGGGATATGTTTAGTATACTAGTGATATCATTTGGTTTAGATGTTGCTGGCGTTGATCTGATAATTTAGGAAGGGAGCCAAGTTACAATACCAACCCAGAGGTTATCTCGTAAATTCAGTAGGATAATGAATGATACTGAGCGAACAATGAAAAGAAGCAACTGTATCTTCCACCTAATCAACCAGAGGACAAGCAGTCTCTCGTTCGCTCTACAAAAGAGGACTAAACAAAAGAAAGTTGTCAAGAACTCAAAATGTTCTACCAATTAACACTTTTAGTCATCTAAACAGTAGGCCAAAGAGAAAACTACTTTTAACCACAGAAATCAACTCAGGAGAGAGAACAGACTAACAGTATTCTTTTAGGCCTTCTCAGACGAAATAGAGATTAATTTTATGTAAGGTTGAAATGGAACAATTGTTGCCACTATATTCTATAAATGGTTCTGACATGATCCAAATCCTGAAATATGACAGTTTATAGAATCGAACTCTCCTTCGTTTGGACTCTATGAAAACCATATCTACAACAGTGCCTACACTAACACCTGAGGCCCTATGTTTCAGTCATAATCCGGAATGGTATGGGTTGTTATAAATAGCTTTTATGGAATAGTCAGGAATGCGTCAGAACTTTAAATTTCACTTTTCTTATTAATTTTGTGGCTAGCTTGCAACAATTAGTTCATACAGCTTGTCAAAAACATTTCTCTTCGAATACATTAATTTGCTTCCAAGAAAAGCAACCTTGTCGTACTTTCAAATCCTTCCATTACGATTAGTAGAGTTCAAAGAGGGGTTCATAATAGCTACTACTAGCAATATGCTATAAAATAGACAAAAATTTGGAAATTGACAACTAGTTGTAAAAATTCTCATAAAATTGACAGCAGAATCGCAAATGCTGCTAAGAAAGAAAATAGAATGATCTTACACGGTAAAACCAAAATCTTCTTGGTATTCAAGGAGCTAAGCTGGAGTCTGCATGGATTAGGACCTTGAGAAAATCATTTCCATTTTCCAGTTGTTCTGTCTTGATTTCCATGGCAGAATTTGAAGCCGATACATTGCACCACTGCAAGTCAATCTTCTGTAGAGTGGGGATGTCTCCAAAACTAGATGGGATCTCCTGAAGCTGTTTACACCTGTGAACAACCAGTTGCTCAAGTACTGGCAAGTGATCACTCGATGCATTCCATTGGACGAAGTTCAGACCATCTAACTTCAAGAATTTGAGTTTAAGAAATTCCCCATCATCCATGTCCCACTGCTCTCCCTCAAAGGCACGATGCAGTAGCTTTAGAACCTCAAGGTTTGGAAGTTTCCCAGTAGTTGAAATTTTGTCCCAAGGAAGGCAAAACTTCGACAAAGTTAATTTTCGAAGAGTTGAAGGGAAGCAAAATGCACTGGTTAATATATTTTGACCATAGAATAACAGTTTAAGTGATTCAAGCATATTTAGCATCTCCAAATCTGAGAAGCAAAAAGAGTCAAAGCATATTAACTTTACTCGTCTAACATTCGCCAATCTGCTCAAAATGTTTTGAATACTATGAGAAAGAGAGAGTGTGGAACATGTCAACAGATTTGATGGAGACGTTTCCCACTGATGAGAGTCACCCTCACGGAAAACAAATCGGTTGTCTATCTGCAAAGTTGTCAGTCTCTCCATCTTCCAAATGGTCTCTGGTAGTATAACTTCACCTTTTAATCCTTTCACCATTAAAGTTTCAAGATTCCCAAGCGTAGTTATAGACGATGGGATGAAATCAAAGCGACCACAAAGAGACAAGAACGTTAGTTGGGCAAGATTCTGTACTCTGCTAGGGAATGAATCACCAACATTTATGCGACCGAGATCTAATATCCTTAGACGTTCATAGTTGTGAAAGATTTCAGAAACGGGAGAACCAAACGAGGAATGTCCATACTGATTGGCATTATAAGTAGAGAAGAACATGAGAGAGCGAACATGGGTTCCATATGGCATGTTACTGCTAAAACGCTCCCATCTAGCAAAAACAGACATCCAACGTACCTCATATGTAACATAATTAACTAAACAATGGCCTTCCAACTCAGTTATCATGTCGGACAGAGTTGGCTCTTTAATGTCATCATCATATATCAACTTCAGAAAATGCTTTTGTTTAGCTTTTGCCTTGCAGAACTCATGTAGTAAATCATGAACCTGGCATGTTTTGACCCTACCCCTGGAACTTCTTCTTGAAACAGTGACTAGACTTCTGCTAATTAGATCCATCAAGTAGTCCTCAGCAATGTCCTCTAAATTCTTTAACTCTTGTCCGCTCACCAATCCTTCTGCAACCCATAGCTTTACCAACTTTCGAACTACAATTTCATCATCCTCAGGAAATGATCCAAAATACAGAAAGCATGCTTTCAGTTGATCCGGTAAATTCTTGTAACTCCACTCCAGTATTTCCATGCACTGCTCTGTCTCACCAACAAGCTTCGAGCTAACACTCTTTGCAACTTGATTCCAACAGCACACCGTCTTCTCTGTCCTAGCAAGTATTCCAGCTACAAGAACAACTGAAAGGGGCAATCCTTGACAACCTGCTGCGATCTGTCTGCCCAAGTCCAAAAGTTCCTTGGGGCACTGTTCTTTCTGAAATAGCCTCTTCTCTAACAACTCCCAGCTCTCCTCTTTAGAAAATAATCGAAGAGAATGAGGATTGCAATCAGGTTTCACTTGCAAAGCCACCTCATGCAACCGACTAGTAAACAGTATTCTACTACTATTTTTGTCATCTGGAAATGAATTTCGCAAGTCGTCCCAAGCTCTAGTGTCCCACATATCATCCATTACTATGAGGTACCGTTTTCCTTTCAAACATTTACGGAGCTGTTCAATTAAGTCGTCGTCATTCTTGATCAAAATTTCATCAGTAAGCTCAAGAACTTGACCCAAAATGCCCAGCACCAAAACTCTCCTGTCATATGTTTGAGAGATGCGGGACCATGCACGTACATGAAAGTGATAGGTAACTGAGGGTTCATCATACAATTTCCGTGCCAAAGTTGTCTTGCCCAGACCTGGCATTCCAACGATTGCAACAATATCTAGCTTCTTTGTACCTCTTGTAAGTTTTTCTCTAATAACTTTTGATTCATCTGGAAGACCAACCACAAGCTCATCTACTGCTGAGGAGACAACTTGTGGTGATTCAGGGTTGGAAGTCCTTGCACTTTCCTTTGCCACAGGATGATCACTATGTTCATGACGATATACCTTAGCATTTATCGATTTGCATGAACCTATTATGTCTGAGAACAGAGATAAATAATGCCACACAGGATGAGGCATTAACATAAAGCAACTGACGGTGTAAGCTACCTCGTGTACCACAGCTGAAATAGAAGACCAAATACACATGACTTCCTCCTCCACTTCATCTTGCTGCTCTGCCTCATTATTAATCAGGAAAGACCTAAAATTCTCCACCGCGCGCAAGATGATTTCTAGTTGATGCTTCACAAAAGAAACTGGCCCAGGCTTGCTCCGCAGAAGCTCTCTGAGTTCTGACAAGAAACCATCAATGGATCCACCTCCCTTATAATCAGAAAGAATAGATTTAGGTAAGTCAACAATTTCAGGAACCATCCCTTTGAGCATTCCCCTGAAGGTTGAAATGTTTTTATGTATATCAGAAAGAACCTCATCATTCTCCCTGTGAATGCAGTCTTTTCTTTTGCCACGACAAAACGACGCAATGAGGGATGTTACATCGCTGATTGCCATTTCTGTGTGACTTGATACTAGTTTTCCATGCCAATGGTGTCGCTGTGGTGGGTCAGTAAGACATCCCATGAGCAGTATCAGCCCATCTAAAATTTCTTCAATTTGATCATTCATGGGAACCAGAAAATCTCCCAAGAGAAAGTGGACAAAACCACACACCACTTCACCAGCCAAGCAAATGTCAGATCCTGAAATGGCTGAAGTTTTCAAGATACCAATATACATATCTAAAAGCTGCGGCTTATAAGGGTCAATCTTATCAACCAGATCATGAAGCAAATCACTGGCATCTTCTTCAGTGGCATCTACTTTCTTCAGCCAACAGAAGTAAGTGAAGATTGCCGCGTTTTCCACGACCTCTCCAATGCCGGACAAAAAGTTTCCAATCCTCTGATACACTGCTTGCTGCTCAACTGCGAATGCAACGAATTTTTTCAAGAACCTTAACTTGGTTTCAAGGGCCAAGAGTTGCTCCTTCAAAGAAATAATCAAAATCTCTTTCAAACTCATCAGATCCATTATATTCTGTAGCACAGATTCAATGAATTCAAGCACATCTTGACCACCCACGGAAGAGTTAGGTCGCAATAAACATTTAGACCAAACTAAGTAACTTTCTCCAATTTCCAGTTTGAAATCCTCAACCCTTTTGAGCAGATCTAGAATCATATCGCTTAAATCCTCCTTCAAACTACCTGACATGAAAACAGATAGCTGCTTCTCTGCCTCAACCATTGCAGCCTCGACGTTCCCAGTATTAATGCCACTGATTTTCCACTTTAAACTACCAAACAGAAAGGTTCTCAGAAACTTCAGCTCTGTTTTAAGGGTCAGAGCTTCATCTTCTACCCTAGATCTAAACCCAAGTTTCTCTAAGCATTCCAATTTCTCTAAGACAGTGTCAACACAAGTATTCGCCATCTTGGGTCCGTCCTTCCCTTCAAATTTCCACTAAAAACATATACTAAAAGCATACCCAAGTCAGGGAAACAAAAACTTAAAAACCCAAATGTATATCCAGCCCCCGTAAAGTATTAAACATTGTTTCTACAAATCATTGAACATTTCAGATCACTAAAATGTTATTGTTCAAAGTGTGTGTATCAACAGAAGTAATTAACAAGGGCAAAGATGAAAAAATAATAATAATAAACTACTTGCCTTTTTAGCCTTTCATGGTTGAAACTTGAGAGAGCTCCCGTTTGAAGTTTGTGTGCAATTTGCATTGGAGACAAACAACATGTAAAATCCCATTTTGTTCCCAGAAGGAAACAGGTACTTATTAAAATATTCTTAAAAAGAAATAAAGCCTAAAAGCTATCAGAACTGTTAAAGGTTTTGTTGGTTTTACACTAAGACTGATTAAACTATTAGGAAAAGTCAGTGATCAAAAAATAAGACAATGTCACAGACCCAACTTCATTAGGCCCAGCATAAGATGATGAAGGTGCTTCAGAAATTTGAGAAATCATCATCCTTTTTCTTCACCAAAATAAAAAGCAAGTAAAAAATTTGCCTCATTTCCAACAACCACTCCGGTGCAAGAGAGGAAATTATCTCCCAAGAGTCTCTCATGCACACTCTGGCGCTAAACTGTGAACAAAGTAGAAACCTCAGCTTTGTTTTCGAGGATCATAGACTATAGATTTTGGCTTTTCAAAAACATCATCATATATTACCTTTAAAAAATGCTCTGCTTGAGCTTTTGCTTTGTGGAGAACTCGTGTAATGAGTCTTCTACCTGCCATTGTAACCCCACCCTCTGGAGCTCGTTCATTAAACAATGACCAGAGTTTCCACCAAGTTCTTCAGCAATTTCCTCTTAAAGTTTTTCAACTCATGTACACTCATTATTCCTTCAGCAACCATCAAATTATTTACCAACGTTTGAGCTAAAAATTTCTTCATTCTGATCAGGAAATGATCCAAAATGCAGAAAGCGTGCTTTCAGTTGATCAGAAAAGTACTTGTGATTCCAGTATTTCCATCATTCCATGCATTGCTCTGTCTCTCACCGATGATCCTTCACATTATACCGTTCGCAACTTGATCCCGCCAGCATTACGCCTTCTCTGTCTAAGCAAGTGTCGAGCTACACCAATAATAGAGTCCAAAAGTAATCGGCTCATAAACATTATTCTACTACCATTTTTGTCATCTGGAAATGAACATTTTAAATCTTTCAAAGCTCTAGTATATATCCTAGATATTATCCTCTTCCACAATATTCTTGCTCAAAATTTGATCCGTAAGAAGTACAATAGATTGACTCAGTTCAGTACCAAAGCCCTCATTTCAAATGTTTGAGAGATGAAACACCATACAATATGAAGAAGCATGAATCTGCACCGACATCTCCAGTTGATTGAACCGGCGGTCATGGAGTCACCAAAACCCTAAAACTTGTAAAAGAGGGCCTCGGGCTCTCCCGAGAGTAGACACTCCGATTCTTAAGTCAATAAGAGTAATTGTAATAGGGGTATGACTTGTGGTGTGTACAGAGTATCTTTTATGTGAAGGTTGGTCCCTATTTATAGAGCTAAGGTTACCTGTTTGTAAAACCCTTTTCTTTGTAGGAAAGTAATTAGCAACCGCCCTAGAAACTTCCAGGGGCCGGATGAATTGCTTGCCGAACTTGAACCGGTCTAGTCGTGGGCCGTATAGTTAAGACTCATCAAGTTTCCTTTATCAAACCTATACTTCGAAGTCTGAAGATAGGATAGGTTTGATAATATGAAGTATAAAGTTTCCTCAAGTTCGGGAAAAACTGACTTAAATCGAGAACCTATAATAGGTTAACATCGAAGAGAAACCAAAGCAATGAAAGCATTAACGCATACCTTTTCGAATGTACGTGTCGTAAAGGGTGATTGACATTTATGCCAATTTGTGAAGAGATAAGACTCATTAGTTCAAACTTCTGAGTGAGAAGTCAATAAGTAATGATCTTAATAATCTGCCACATAGAGATACCAAAGCAGATGACTTGTTGAGAGAATCGAGAAGGAAACGTAGTGGAGATTCCCACTAGTCCCAAAATTTGTGTCTTTAGCAGCAGCTAAAATATATCAACTGTAGGAATGAGGAGTCTACTGGGGGATCGAGAAGTAAGCTTCTGATCGAGAAGTAATAGACCCACCCTCGAGAACAACCACTGAATAGTGGATCGAGAAGCATCACGAATGAAGACAGAGAATACTCGATGTCGAGGACATAAGTTTAAAAATAAAGACTGTCTGGGATTGAACGCACGTCAAGAACTTGCCCCAGCATAATCTTTTCTGTAAAGAAATGTTAAGGACCCCGGAAGCTTGAATAGTCCAGCTCGAGTGTAATAGAGTATTAGAGAGTAGAGACTGTCACCATAAGTATCCTCGATTGTCGAGGAGGGAAAGTAGAGGGTAGAATACACTGTAGAAGATGCCGCATGTGTCAATTCAGGGATAGTGAGACTCGAAAAGATTCTCTCGAGTAGAACTCCAGAAAAAACTTAAGAATTGTAACCATCTGACCTTGAAGAAAGTACATAAGCATTTAATATGAATCAAGTTGATGTGTCGAACCCGAGTACATGTATAATATCGTTGCTCGAAACTTGAGCAAGAATTGAGAAGGTTTTACTCATTAGTGTGAGAAGAAACGATGCCCCAGTCTGAGCATTATGTGAGAACCATCGAGAATAGTCATAGGAAGAGATCCGTAGACCAATGATCATCGAAAAAAACAAAAGTACAACCTCCCAAACACCTCCAAACACCTCCAAACACCTTACATACTTTTCAGACACCTTACAATCTCCCATATATCTTATCGTATAATAAATGAACGTTCCCCGTTATAGATAATTCCGGAACCATTACTCATGTCGGAGACCCGAAGTTTTAGGGTGGCATATGGCCGACCGAGACTTTTAAGAATAAGAAGCACAATAGATTGACTCAGTTCAGCACCAAAGCCCCCATTTGTTTGAGAGATGCAACACCATACAATATGACGAAGCATGAATCTGCACCGACGTCTCCAGTTGATTAAACTGGCGATCATCGCGGCATCAAAACCCCAAAACCTACAAAAGAGGGCCTCGGGGTCTCCCGAGAGTAGACATTCCGATACTTAAGTCAGTAAGAGTAATTGTGATAGAAGTCTGAATTGTGCTATGTAGAGCATACTTTTCATATGAGAGGTTGATCTCTATTTATAGAGTTAAGGTTACATGTTTGTGAAACCCTTTTCTTGGTAGGAAAGTAATTAGCAACCGCCCTAGAAACTTTCAAGGGTCGGTTAAACCGCTTGCCGAACTTGGGCCGGACTAGTCGTGAGCCGTATAATTAGGACTCATCATAATACATGAAAATCAAAGTGATAGGTAACTGAAGGTTCATGAAACAATTTCCAGGCCAAAGTAGTCTTGCCCAGATCTGGCATTCCACTGATTGCGATAACTAGCTGTACCGTACCTTTGTAAGGCATCCTTCAATAATTTCTGATTCACGAAATCCAATCACAAGCGCATCTACTACTGTGCAATTAGCTTCCTGTAACTGAGTGTTGGAAGTCCTCAAAATCTCTGCAGCAGGATGATCATCATTACTATCATAACAACAAGATTATGGTGTCAGATATCAGCGATACACGACAGCACACGCCACACGGGATAAAGTACCCACCAGAAAGGAGTTGCTAATGTAATCTGACTAGACGAGGACATCCATGAGAGAAGATCAAATACACGCAATTACTTACTTCTCCAGTTCAGTTCACCATGCTGCTTTGGTATTTATCAAAGAAGACAAGGTTTTCACTCTTGCAAGATGATTTCGACCTGATGCTTCATAAAACAACTACACAAGGCTTGCTCTCCTGAAGCTCTCTTATATTTGACTAGAAATTGTCCAGCTTCATTAGGTGAAGAAAATAAAGATGAAGGTACATCAGAAAATTGCAGGTATCAGCCCATCTAGAATTTCTCCAATTTGATCATTTATAAGACCTAGAAAAAGTTCCAGGATAATGCGGAATCCATTGTCTTCGGCCAACAAAAGTAAGTGAAAAACCCCACATTTCCCTCGAATGCAAGTGAAAAAACGCTTAGTCTCTCATACTGTTATACACTCTCTGTGGTTCAACTGTGAATAGAATATTCTTAAGAACATTAAACTTGTTTAAGGCCAATGTCTTCTCCTTTTAACAAATGATCAAACGCTCATTCAAATTCATAACTAAGATCCATTAGATTCTGTAACACGGGTTTAAAAAATTCAAGCACATCTTGAACACCCGAGGAAGAGTTTGGTCGCAATTAATTTAGACCAAAAAATGAAACCACCTCAACCCTTTTGAGTAAATCTGGAATAGTACTGCTTAAATCCTCCTTCAAACTATCTGACATGAAAATTGATAAGAGGTTCTCTGAATCAATCATGGCCGCTTCAACATTATCAGAATAAATCCTACTGATTGTCCAGTTCAAAATATATTTCAGCTCTGTTTCAAGGATCACAGCTTCATCTTCAACCCTAGAACTTAAAACTCATATTTCTCCAAGGCCTAAGCATTCAAATTCGTCCACGACGGAGTCGAATCCTTGCGGAAAACAAGTAAAACATTGCGTAAAAATCAAATTGTAAAGCCACCCCTCAAAGATTGATTCTGTTTAGGCCTTGCAAATCTAACCCGTGACCCGCGGGTTGACCTAACCCGCATAGTATTTTGACCCGTGCGGGTTGGGTCAAATGGGTCGTGGGTCAGAACGGGTCGCGGATCAGAATGAGTATGTGATATACGGGTTGGATTGGGTTGGATTTTCATGACCCACGGGTCAAGATGTGTTATATATGAAAAAAGAAGTCTTTCGTCTTTACTGCACTTTCTCTTACATCGACGGATCGACCCAAAAGCCCCCTTTCAGGCTTTCACCATAGCTTTTTCAATAAAAAATTTGGAGCCGACCGTATCAACTTTGACGGAGGCCATCAGAAACCTGATCGTCGAGGTCTGTTCCCCCTCCCTTTTTTTTCTTCCTTTCTCTAGATCTTTTTCTGATTTGATGCTTACTCTTCTGGGCCTGTTTTATTTTTGTTTTCTAGATCGGGTTTGCTTTCATGTTGAATCAATTTCGTGTTATTTTGGATATTTTTGGGCATTGCTGACATTTCTTGAAATGGGTTGTGTCGAAGGCTGTTTTTGATGTTTTGAGAAAATGGGCTGTTTGAATTTTGGTCTTTCGGTCTACGGTTCTGCTCTTTCTAATTCTCCTCTCCTTCTCTTCATTTCATTGCTTGTTTTTCTTTTGGTTGTGAATCGTTTCTTTTCTATATGTGTAATGGTCTTTCCCTTTGTCGCTTCGTTTATTATTATTATTTTTTGGCTGAAT